TATCAAACATACTGTTGGTGTGAACGTGCTTTGTAGTCACTATGAGAAAAACCTATACACTATATTGGAGTGGAATTATCCGAAACTAGTATAATCCAATAACACACGTTGATCAAAGAGTAAATTGAACTGGACCTACCTTGAACTTAGACTTGGAAATTAAACAGTTTTTGGAATACTAAGCTTATTCGTTGATCCTAGTTTCTAGTAAAAACGCTGAGGTTATTAATATTTACAGTACACCTTCGGTAATAAAGTTTTGTCACTTTCTTTCGCTTCTAATCACAACAAATTGCATTCAGGGAAACACCTTTTTTTTAATCTTGTATGTTAGCCACTTCTGTTAAAGTGTTACTGAATGTTTCACTTATTATGAATAGTTAAATCTATATAATATTGAATATAGTAGCAAAGTACTGTTTTATAGATTTAAAGGTTTTGTTGTTTGTTTTTCAAAAGATATTGGTTTTGGATACAATAATATGGATATAAAACAATAAACGAACCATTGTGTTTGGCTCGTTCATCTTCGACTTTAGTCTGTTGATCTATTATCTTCCCATTTTCCGAAGTTAATGTTTACTGTTGGCCTTAGCGACGATTTTAAATTGTCCTCTTCTTATTGGTTTATTATACTGTATAATTACTGACGTAAAGTGTGCATTGAGCTTTCTTAGGCAAATAAACCTTACCTAGAAATACCGGTACACACTTTGTTGAATACAAAACATTAATAAAAAGGTATTTTTCTCTGGACCACTATGGTTTTAAGATTTACTGTTATCACTTTTATGTCTGCCAAAAGAAATATTTCAACCTGTGCGACACTACCTGGACTTTAGTTAGTGTGAATTGGCCCATGAATATATAAACTCTAACAACAGTTATATTTTATGAAAATTATTTCGGAATTAGATATACTCAGTTGTGTACTTTTATTATATTTATTACAGTATAATTGTATACCTATAGTTATATCTTATGTGATTTATCGTATTTTGGCAAGAATATTCTAAAGAAACGTTTACTATATGTTTATATTTTTTCTTATGTATATATTACGCCACGTGTATTTTTTTGTGATGAATGCTTGTTCTCTATCTCTTCGTAGGTCAGAACTATGCATATAATTTTTATATAATGTTTGTACAACTGTAGCTGCGATTGTTTCTATTTAATTGTTTTTTTTTCTTATTCGTAGGTATAAGGAAATATTATTTTAAGGTAAGTATTATAATTAATAAATCCCATTTCGATGAGTATTTTATTTCTTAAATTGTGCATTTAAAAAATGTTACAAAATATGTTACAGAAGGTGCAATGGAATTTATGATTATATTCGTTCTTTTTACTATTACAGACCTCTCCGGATCAGGAAAAGCTGTACGAATACTCCAGTCTTTTCTCAAACTTGGAGCCCTGTTGTTACTGCTGTACATATTCATCTGTTCACTGGACTTTCTTAGCTCTGCATTCCGTCTTCTTGGAGGAAAAGTAGCAGGAGATGTTCTTTCTAAAAATGAGTTGTTGTCCAACCCTGTCGTGGGATTAATGATCGGTGTTCTTGTAACTGTTTTAGTGCAGAGCTCATCAACTTCTACATCAATTATCATCACAATGGTGGGGGCTGACTGTAAGTATGGTTTGTGAATACCTTTTCAGACATCAGGGTTAATCTTCAATGGTTAGCTAGTCTATTAATTATTTTTTTAGTTAGCATCATGATAGTATCCTATAAGTATAATTCTTTATCCAAGAGATATATCTTTGTATTTCCATGGGTACAAAAAGATGGATGTGTATAACCTGATATAACCAGTAAGGCTTTATTTTTCGTTCATATTTTTAGTCAAGGATTTAAATTCCCAAAACAAAAATATATTAAAATAAAAATCAGATATAAACAAGGTTCGTGTTATCAGATTCATTATGTTGAAAATATAATACAAAACTGGTTTTCTTAAATCTGAAAATTGTTTCAGCTATTGGAAGAGATAATATTTAATATATTATAGAATAACCGCGCATATGATAAACGTCTAAAAACTGTATTTTCTGAGAGAAGAAAACAAATTGAAAAACTTCGACTATCAGATTTTTTGGTTTTAAATACAATATTCAAACATTAATTGTTAGGGTGGAAGTTTACATTTTCCATTATTTTCTTCCTCAGTAATAAAAGTGCAGAGTGCCATCCCTATTGTGATGGGAGCAAACATAGGAACTTCCATGACAAATACTGTTGTTGCACTGATGCAGGCATCAGAGAGAAACGAGTTTCGTCGGGCTTTTGCAGCTGCTACAGTACACGACATGTTTAACTGGTTGACAGTAATTTTCCTTTTACCCCTAGAGGCCACTACAGGTAATTCCATGAAATGTGAAAATTAAGGTAATTAAGATTAAACTAATATAGCATAAAACACATTAACACGAACACATAATCTGTTGAGCTAATGTATGCCAACAATAGAAATTTCCTACAAAATCATGATTGCAAAAGGTTTTTGTTTTGGATATTCGCACAAAGCTAGACAAGGCCCACCTATTGTAACCATCTCTAATCTTGAACTTATAGGCTAGAAAGAAGGAAAATAGTCAACATCACCCACTGCCAATTCTTGGACTACTCCAGTCAAATAGTGGGAATTGACAGTCAGTTGTAATGCACCTGTGGCTTCTAAGTGAGGAGCCAAGCTTTTTTTTTTTGTGGCAATGGGACACGAAATACATGGATCCTTGGATCTACAATCCATGCCCAGTCTGCTTATGAAAGAAAATTTGGCATTTCTTTTCATATAATAACTTTTTAGTAACACTCATCTTTCCAAAAACAACTCAAACATTGTGTGCTCTTCAAACTACAATAAATGGATTAGTTACAACACATTTAATTGAATTAATTAAAATTTTAAAGTGACTAACAATCGTTTAAAATTTTTTTATTAAAAAATACACAACTTGGCCATTTCTTATTAAAAATGCAGCCTGATTTTAGGCAGTTATAAGATAACGTTGTGGTGAACAGATTTTTTGAAATCCTTCAATGTACATAATATAAATTTGGAGAAACAATTGTGATGACCACAGATGTTTAGATATTACTTAAGAAATAGTGAATTTTATATTTCTTTCAAAATATTAATGAAAATATCTTGGAAAATGTTAGTTTTGTAATGCTTTTTCACAGAATTTGTTATTGCTCTTAATTATTTTTGTCAAGAAATAGTTTGATTTTTAGTTCATTTTTTGTACATTTTTACTTCTTAATTTAGCTAGAAAATTTTGTTTATCCTATTACTTTGATGTGTTTTTTTCCTTTAAACTGATTACTGTTTTCTTATATAGGATACTTATACCATCTGACAAGTGAAATCTTGAAAAATACAAAGTGGGAGCAAAATAAAGAAGCAGATCGGGATTTTCTTAAAAAGCTGACCAAACCATTCACAAAAACTATAATTCAGGTATTGTTCAATATTTTTCTTCATTGTTTTTAGTTTCATTCATTCGTATATGATATTCCTAAAATATTTTCATGTGAGTAAAAATAAAAGAACAAAATGGAAGATTCAGTCTCTACCATGAAATTAACACACAAATAATGAATTTTATTCTCAAACCTCTTACAATGAAAACATTGGAATTTTTATTAGAAACTCTCAAGTGAATGGATAATACATACTATTCAATCATACAAGTGATTGCAATTAATTTCAAATAATGGAGTAAATCTGCATGCAGTTGACTAGAGCTTAAATCAAACATTCAATTTCAGAAGTTACTTTATTTGATTCTTAAATCTAGGCAAAATTTTGCTTACTTTAAGACTAAAATCCCATGATTAGTTAATTTTATGAAGAGGTTCCAAGATTATAATTTTCTTTAATTAGAACTTATAATACTGTTATAGTTTTTCATACATAAGACCTTCAATGTAGTCAGGTTTAATAATTTTGATTTGGGAATTTGTTTATTGATATGGATTGCTTCCTCCATGTAGCTTGACAAAAGTATTATAACAGCAATAGCCAACAAAGATGAAACAGCCAGAAATATGTCTCTCATCAAACGATGCTGCAAAAAGAATGGAACTGATTGCATCAGTGAATGTAAGTGAAAATACATGAATTCTTAATTCTGTTTTCCTAATTGTGATGTTGTTTATAAGTATCTTATTAACACCATTGGTTTAACTAAAATTTATTTTTATCACTTATATGTTTTGATAAAAGCACTTTATTAAATGTTATCAATTTTTTTAAAGTTTTATTATAAGGTAGTAAATTAATTCTTGCTCATGTGTTTAAAAATTAAATTGCACTATGTAATTGAATTTTAGTAGATAAAAGAGAGGCAGTTACTACATATTATTCTTACACTGTTAGAAAACAGGATTGGTTTTTAATTTTTTGATAGTAATAATATGGCATTGAATATTTATAACATGAAATTCAAATATTGTACATATTGCCTTGTACTGAAATGTCACAAGTTAATTTCTAAAATTACAGTTTACTTTATCGTGTGTTTGAAATACCAGGTGATATATATTATATATTTTTTTTGCAGGCACTTTTCTTCTGAAAGACTTGAATTGGAATGATTCCTTTATAGGACTTCTGTTGTTAGCAGTATCTTTAATTCTTCTCTGTACCTGTCTCATCTTACTAGTCAAACTTCTCCATTCCATGCTGAAGGGTCGCATTGCTGTTGTCATTAAAAAAATAGTTAATGCAGATCCCCGTTTCCCCTTCTCCATGTTTGTAGGTTACATTGCCATTTTTATTGGAATGGTCATGACTATTCTTGTGCAAAGTAGCTCAATTTTCACTTCTGCACTTACCCCTCTAGCAGGTATTGGAGTCATATCCCTGGAAAGGATGTATCCTCTAACCTTAGGGTCCAACATTGGTACAACTGCAACAGGGATTCTTGCAGCTTTGGCAGCAGACAAGGCACAGATAAAAAATGCACTCCAACTGGCATTCTGTCATTTGTTCTTTAACATCAATGGAATCCTTCTGTTCTATCCTCTCCCTTTTATGCGTTTCCCTATTATCCTGGCAAAGCAGTTGGGTAACATCACTGCTAAGTACCGATGGTTTTCAATCCTGTATCTCCTCATGATGTTCTTGTTGATTCCTGCTATTGTATTTGGTCTTTCAGTAGCTGGTGCAAATGTTTTACTTGCTGTAGGACTTCCTATTCTGTTGCTGTTCTTCCTTATAATTGCAATCAACATTATCCAGCAAAAACGCCCAAGTATTCTTCCATTAGTCTTGCAAGATTGGAAATGGCTTCCAGAGTGGCTACATTCCCTGGATCCTTTGGATCGAATCATTTCAAGATTATTTGGAATGTGCAAGTTTTGTAGCTTTATTACTAACACTTCCAGAGCTCATGATGCCAGTATGTTACCAATACCAGCAAATCCATCCCAAATAAACTTCTTAGATACTCAGCGTTCATCTTCTCCTTCAAGTGATGTTATTGCTTTGCATGGTGTGGAACATAATGCTTTTGGCTGGAATCAAAAGAAGTTGTTATCTGCACCAAACACATATTTATGAAGTATCTTTGTTTTATAATGATTATTATAAAAGGACAATTCTCAAAAGACTAAACCTCATTATGTTTTATCTGTATGTGTATAATAATGTTGTTTAAAATCCTGAGGCATAAAAATAAGAAATTATGATAATTATCAGTGAACAAGTTCGTAAAATGGGGTTTGAGCTGATGGTTACTGGTTTATAAAGCACATTAAGGCATTTTAACAACAGTTTTATCTTGTTATCAGTTTTATAGCAGCAAACTTTTGTATCTAAAACATTGTTAAAATATGTACTTTAAAAATCAACACAAGAACTTTTTACGTACACTTTATGCTTAGTTGTAACGTTAATTATTTTTTTTATCAGTTGCTACAACAGCTGATTCACATTTATTGTGTCGTTTTGTTCACAGTTCCACAATATTCTTAGAAAAATATTACAGAAATATTGAAGTTAAGAAAAAATTAATAGACTAACGATATTTTGAAAAGATTTGTACAGAGTTTAACGGATAAAAAATAGACACAAATTAGTATATACATTCTTAATTTAAAGTCGTAACTACCACCCATTGTCATGAATATAGCATTTGTAACAAAAAGGTGCAGCTACCACTCAATTTGGTTGATATAACACTAGTAACGATTTGTTAGTTTTTATTATAGCAAAGCCATGTTGGGCTATCTCCTGTGTCCATCGCGAGGATTAGAACCCCAAATTTTAGTAATATACGTCCATAGACTTACCGCTGTTTCACTGGGGGACCGCTTGTAATGAAAAGGTGTAATTAACAACCAGTTTAATTGATATAGCACTCATAATGAAAGGGCATAACTACCACATCAGTGTGACTTATGTATCAGTTACTCTTGAAACGAGTACATTCTTATATCAAATTAGAAAACAAATTGCACAACACTAAACGTATAAGTGTTTTTCTTTTTTATTTAAATTTTTACAAAAGGCATAATTATAATATTTTTACTGGAATTTATGGCACTCGAATTTCAGAAATTTGCGGAAGCGTTATTGTTCGAACGTGGTATAGGTAATGTGATAATCATTATTCATCAGTAGATGTATCATATTTATGTCTGATCGTAAAAGAAAATTGATATATATATATATATATATATATATATAAATAAAAAAATAAGGATGACTACTCTACCGCTCTTTACTAGTATTAGCCCCGAAACTTGTGCTCAAGTTAATCAGTAAGTTTTTCACAGTCGATTTATTTTTTATGCTTATCAAATACTTTTCTATTTAAGCATTCCAGATTGTAAATTACGAAAAAACATTTGTGCGCGAAGATAACTTGCTTTTTAATTCTGCACCTGACTTGTCTGTTGATCAGTAGTAATATTTTTGAATTAATAAAGACAGAAACTTAGTTGAAAATTTTGATCTAATTGTCTTTACAATTTTGGTAACGAAGCATGTAAATGATGGAAGTCATAAAAAAAATCACAAGTAAGAATAGCGTATCACTTGCGTTTGGTTTTGTATCCACCTTTCAAAATTAACTTGTTCTTGCGTCCTGCATCTTACATTATAGATTATCATATAACCTAATATTCATTAGTATTTTATCTTTGAAATACACTGTCATTTAGTGAAATATTAACTTAAATTTTAAGAAACGAAAAAGAAGGAAACTGGGGAAGTTCGATGCATAGCTGTTATTGGTCTTCCCACCGAATATTTTATATTTGTTCGTAACTTACAAGTGTGCAGGTTTTGCTGTGTTGTAAATAATACAAATATTTTTCACCATTTACTTGTGCTCAAATATGCCAAACGATAAGAAACATTTGACATGATTGTTTGTTTCTTTGTAATTAAACACAAAGCTACACTATGGGCCATCTATGCTGTGCTCATACCGGGTATCGAAACCCGTTTTTTAGCGTTACAAGTCCGTAGACTTGCCGCTGTGCCACGGGAGGGCGGGTCGTTGACACGACAGTCAAATAATTTTATCAAAGTTTTTACTCAATAATAAATGTTTTAATTAAAAGGATTTTTTTAAGTATTCGTTGATGTTAGCAAGATTAGGCTTCACACTTGCATCACTTTATATTTTGGACTAATTTAGCCCGATTACAGCATTTTATTTTGTCTAAGTTGTATATAAGCCTTTCATTATACGTATATATATATCTTTCTTTCTTATAAAGTGTATATAATTGCTGTTCAGTAAATAGCAAAATCATTCTATTTATCAAATACTCCTAAAGAAGGTAAAAAGACTATGTAAAAAAATTATAATAAATGAATGATTATTGGCACAAATAATACAAAAGGAATATGTTTCTTTGTATTTTGTCGCTAGATATTTTTGTAAGTCGTACAAAGCGTTTATTGTAGGTATAAATGTAGATGAAAGCCACAATAAAATGGAGAAAAATTCTTGTTTGTGCTACTTTTTTCATTTAATAACCAATGAATTATCTCACACGAAGTTAAGGTTGTGCCAAATGGTAAATAAAACATACGATTCACTAGAAAAAAGAAACTGAGAAAATATACAAAAATTTAAAGTTGCAGTAAAATTAAAATTTTGAAAGTATTACTCCATATTTCTAGTCATTATAATTAGAAATTTTTATTTTCTTACATTTTTACCAAAAAATTATACTTTAATAATCAATTAATGAATAAAACCTTTTTTTTTCATCTAACAAATAGATAATTGTAGCATGTACTTATGTGGTTTGTTACACACACTGGATTTCAAACTAGCTAATTTAAAATATTACTTTTTTTATTTACTGCTTTTAATTTCACGCAAAGCTTCATGAGGGCTATCTGCGCTAGCCTTCCTTAATTTAACGGAAGGCAGCTAGTCACTGCCAACTCTTGGGCTACTCGTTTACCAACGAATAACGGGATTGACCGTCATCGTGGTGCAGTTGGGTAGGCCTTGTGTGCCATACTTTCCAAGTCCTGTGCCAGCTCTTGCAGGCTCTCCCCTTTAGCACGGACTCTCGTCCTAAACCTAGCCCTGTGGACTTCGAACTGATTTTGAGTTCTAGAGCCGCTACCAGTGCTCTATGGTTGTGCCTGTCATCTGCTGACAACTGTCCAAGTATTTCTAGTGGTTATCACTTCAGGCTCGTTGCCAGATATACTGCTTTCTGCTCCTCTGTCCATCCATTCATCTCTGCCAGGAGCTCAAATTGTGCTCTATATGTTTCCCACAGTGCCTTCCCATTGAATTACTGTGGCTTCCTTCGTACTAAATCACCTCTATTGCTGACATTCATATCTGGGATGTGACTTCTAACAGGACTGAAGATGTCTGCATTAGGGTCTAGCTGCGGGGTCTGGAAAGAGCTTGCCATTGTCTAGGGCTGATTAAGTCGATGGTTAATGTATCCTCCTTGTGTAAAAGACAATAGATCATCCTTTAATGTATATAATTCGCTTTGCAATTTACCAATGTTTTCCACTTGTACTTCTTGCCACTGTTGTTGACTTTCCTGCAACTGTTGGAGACTTTTTTTCCTGTTTCCTTTCTTGTTCTAGTTGCCACTGCTGTAATCTCGCTTCTTGTTTCTTTTCTTTTTCCTCCAGTTTCTTTTGCTTTTCTTGTATTGCTGCCGTCAAATCTACTAAGCTGTGGTTTGATTTGCTACTTCTCGTTTCCATCTTCTTTTTTTTTTTATCCAGCTTCTGACACCAATTTGTTACGTCTCTGGTCGTTAGTTAATTTTCC